CGGGTGCTGACGACCGCGCCGCACGCAGCCGCACTGACATTGACTATCAAGTGCAAGGATGACGACTGTATATCCATGCAGCATCACGGCCGCTTCATACCAATCCTTCGCTTCATAATTTGCTTAGCAAATGAATCAATTAGAGCGTCTGGAACAGTCGTCCATTTGTGGGCGGGCGGGCAAGGGGCGTTTGGGACGTAAAGTTGTGGCTTGATAGCGCCCTTATAAGGGCTTCTCCCCTGGAAAAGGCATTATGCAGCGCCTGCTCAGGGTCGCGGAATTCCGTCCTGCCAGGCGTATTAGTCCTGCTCGTCTTGGAGGATTTATCGTGCCAACTGCCTTTAAAACGTGAATTCTCCTTTTTCATCTCTTTTCGCGATATTTTCAGGTACTTGTTTGAATGTTTGTTTAATCGTTTAGTTGTTCGCAAAAGTTAGGAGAACTCAACCATAATTTGTTTACCTTGTGAAGACAAGGAACATCTAACATTGAAAAAGCAGCCAAAGACAGTGAAAAGTAGGGAGAAAATGACTAAAACAGGCCGAAAATAGCTCATAGCCACAAACAGTTCCTACGCACGCGGTCGCTGGTCTGCGGCCCTTTAACGACCGCCCTAATCAACTGCCCGGATGATGAGTGTGTAGATAGCGGAACAAATCTCCCAAACGAGTCAAACCTTGATTTGTCGGGAGCACGCGGTCCACGTTGAAAAATTTTTATAATTCTTCTTTTAGTTGATCTTCATCCATACGACTTCCCGGATACTCGTATGGCTCTCGTCTTTCCTCGCAAATACCTGACCATTTGGGTATTGGTGGAGGTAGGCCGTGAAAACAGAGCGATTTACCCAGATCCTCCTCAACCCTTTGTTTCAGAATATAGTGGGCATGACTGGTGCTTGGTTGATAGCGGCATTTTTATTTCTACAGGCAGCAGTTGTCCCTTTCCAAACGATGGCAAGTGATGCAACAATAATTTGTTTCTTCACCTTGCTCACAAGGTTAACAAGCTGAGGCAACTAAATCTTTCAGATAACCGACTTGTGGGTGGTGATGTCGATGTTACACGAGAAATATGTTAGCTCATTTCAAAAACCACTCAAAAAGTCACAGATCACCATGTCTCTGGTAGTGATGAGCATTCTCGGTCTCTTCACCAGCTTTTTCTTCATTATACAAGGTGAATGCAACGTAACGTATCACCAAAATGATTTACTCTCGATAGCCACCCTTTTAATCTCCACGACCAGAAAGTATGAAGTAAAGCGAACGGTGGTGTTAGGCTGTGTTTATACTCTGGAGCAGCGTCCACCAGCGTTCCAAGCAGGGTACGCCATCGTTGTGATCATCACAAGGGGGGGGGTCGTATTTGACCGCGAAGGAGGGGGGTTCGTATTTGGTCAGAGAAAAAAATTTGATAGGTTGCATTTCTCTTGTTTCACGACGCCTGATTAAAAAGGGGGGGCGGGGAGTCGATACTTGGTTATTTCTTGGGGAGGGGGGGTATTTGGTCAGTTCGCGGCATATCCTGACATATTCAAAACATATATTTTAATTCTGACGACCTTCCCCCCCCCCGCTCGACGCGCTCGGTTCGATGAGGAAGGAGAGAGGGCTGGGAGGGGTAGTCGTATCAACTCCCAAAAAGGGGGGTCGTATCAGTATGGAATTAGGGGGAGGTCGTAATTTTTAGAAAATGATCACAACGCGATGGCGTGCCCTGGTTCCAAGCGTCCGGCAGCTTCAACAACTAGGAAAGCATAGATATCGATTAGCGTCTGCCTACGTTCCAGCGTCTACTTGCGGGTCCTATGAGCTTTGTGGGTTAGGAAGCTAGTATCGATATATAGCGTCTGCCAGCGTTGCACGCAAGCGTGCTACCAGCGTCCGGGATAGCGAGGCAGTATGCGCGGCAATAGGAAAACAACAGCAGCTAGCAGGAGTATGGCGCGAGGAGGTACCAACTGTCGCTACCCCTGGTCGCGATACTGCCTCATCATCGATGCTGGTGTACACAACCTGGCAGGCGCTGGCAACGCTAGATCAATATCTACTACTTCTCTTGCCCCTCGCAGCGTGGTGGTGGATGTTGATTCGGACCGCTGCCGGACCGCCCAGAACGCTTGCGCGGACGGCTGTCTTCGCAGTTGCATGGGACTCCGCCCACAAAGAATGGAACGTATCTTGAAGGAGCGACGCGAAAGGGGAGTGGCTGGATAGCGTTATTGGGAATATGGCGAAGAGAATGTTGCGCAAAAGGGACTATATTTCAAAGAGAAGAATTGCAAAAGGGAACTCCAAAATGCCTATCATGCGGCACTGACCTCAGCAATTCGAATTAGTACAAAGGCAAAAATTAGCGCAGTGTTGCGAGATATAGTTCGCATCAGTCTTCTGTAATTTGAGCCCCATCGAACTCACATACAGGTAAAATGAACAACACCGCTATTCTAATACCTTCCACACATCCCCCCGGTCAGCATCGCTCTTCGCGCAAAGGCAGCCTTGACTGAGTCTAGAGGCGGAGTCACTAGAGAAAGGGAGGTGTCACTGGAGCAACTCAGCGCAGCATCTCCACCTTGCAACTTTCCCCAGCAAAAGCGCTGCGAATTGCCATCCAGTATACCCTTTCCTTATAATCACTTTGCATTCCACGGATCACTTTAACAAGCAGTATTTCTCTTCAGGTGGCTTTCTGCACATTCTTGGTAGTAGCAAAAGCGTGCAAAGATGCGACTTTGATTCTCGGATTCCTACAGCTCGTCACAGTCGCGTACATCTATGGGTTCAAAAGGTTTTCCGTGTAAGTCACTTCGACTGGAAATTTATAAAAGTCTTCTTCGGAGTATTTTTCTGTCTTCGTGCCACTCCTCTCACAAATCAGGTGTCTCTGAGATCATCACAACTTGCGCAAGCGACAGAAGGGATAACGAGTGGTATAAGAGTGTCAGAGTCATGGCACTGACCAACTGGAAAGGGCCACAAGTTCGTATAGCTGTTGCAAAAGCAAAAGTGACACGCATAGCCAGCGTCAGGCTTAGTGACAGGCCTGACTAACAGAGACAACATCATAAACAACCCATGCTCCCAAAAGTCGGCCCAATACACATCCGTGTTAATTTCTGCGCAGCGTCACACTGAGCGGTGGCGTGCAGAACCTCGTTCCGAAGCTTCCTGGAGCGAGCGGGCTCACCGAGCGAGGGGTGAACCACCTCGGCCAAAGAAGCTAGTTCGGATTGGGACTCTGAACATGGGCCGCGAACCAGCGACCTCTCGGGACCGCTGACCGGCAAGTCCCGAGAGGTCGCTGATTCGATGGAACGAAGGAACATCCAAGTCCTATACCTTCAGGAAACGCGCTGGACAGGAGCCAAGGCTCGCGAGATTGGGGAAAGGGTCAGCTTACCTCTATAATGGCGGACAATGGTGGAGACGCTAATGGTAAGCAGAACGGGCTGGCCAGAGCTGTAGCACAGTCTCTGAGGGACTTTGTCTCCACCGTGCAGAATGTCCCATATCTTCACTCAAAAAGCACGAAAAGGGGTAGGTGTGTGTTGATACCCGGGTGCAGCCTCCCTACTTCGCTATCATCATTGTGCAGTACCTGCGTCCATTCTCAGTGAAGCACGCGTTGAGAGTTAGAGAACAACCAGAATTGAGAGGTCGCAGGCAAGTAACGCGTTAGGCGTGTGACTGGACGTCCAGCACCGCAAATGGAATACGGAGACCGATGTAGGGCATCACTACCCCCTCCCTTCCCATCCCCGTTATCGTGCACTTCTAAGTGAAGAAAGTAGCACGCTATCACAGCTGCGAACCCATTCACCTTCAGATGGCATGGACCAGAATCCGCGGAGGTGAATGTACACTTTTCTCAGAGCGAGTCAGCGAAGCTGGTTGCCCGAGAAAGCAGGGGATGGACGGAAGAAATCGAGAAGAAAACGTGCCTTCAGGCTTCTGTTGCAGAGGCGCGCAGCATGTTTTTCGTGCTGTCGTCCGATGCAGTGACGTGACCGTATGATGTTAGGCTGCGTTCATACTTCGCGGCAGCGTCCACCAGTGACCAATAGCGTCCATCAAGTTTCCGAGCGTCCAGCAGCGTCACGAATAGGAAAGTATAGATAGGGTTTGCCAGCGGACTCCAGCGTCTACCAGCGTCCTTGAGAGTATGGCGCGATGGGAGGGTAGCAGACAGCTGGTACCCTCTTATCGCGGCATACTCTGCCAGCTGCCTTCCTGCTACCTTCCTGTCGTGCCATACTCTCCTCTCAGGGACGCTAGCACACGCTGGTAGACGCTGAAGGACACTGGCAAACTCTTGATTGATATCTATGCTTTCCAAGCTGTCGGATGATCGGGACGCTGGAGGACGCTATTGGTCGCAGGCGGGCGCTGCTGCAAAGTATGAACGCAACCTTGGGCAGCCACCATGGGAAATTGTCCACTAACCAAAACCATTACATAAAATAAGGACTTGTTTTCCCTGGTTTCCAGCTGCTTTTTACTGCATCTTCTTGTTTACCGTGCCATGCGTTTCACTTGCGACCGACAGGAGAAGGTAACTGGAGCTGTCTCCACTGCCTACCTCCTCCGAAGGAACTTATTCAGAGCCTGACATTCCGCTTATCAAAATCCAGTTCTCCCACATAACACGGCGGAAGGTTGCAGTTTGTGATTATCTGTGCGACAGACCGTGGTTGTAATTTGTTAGAGGAGAATATGATCGTTCAATACAACATATGCCTCTCTTCACATCGAATAGAGTGCTTTTTCGTTTATAGAGGCCGAGTATTCTTAATAAAACCTTGCAGTAACATACGCACAATGGTGGGCGGACATGGTCCAGTTAATTTCTTTTGGTGGTTCAACTGGATAGCCACATCTCCTTTCTTTCATGTGGTCAGTTCATTTGATTTTTGTACCTGTGTCTAGTTAATGAGCCGATTTTGGGGCACATCTCGGCGACGGGGCGCGGTAGGGCATTCTACCTTTTAGCTTCTTCCCATCGGCGTGTGGAGCCATCTGGAGAGCTATTTCACGAGCTCACAGAATAATAGGCTCTACCATGGTGGCTCGGCGAGCTTGCTCCTCTGCTCTTCACAGGAGTTCACAGGTTTCGCTAGAAGAGATGTGCAAACCGAAACCAGTGAAGCTGCAGAGTGCAGAATGCCCCCCCCCCTCGTCGCCAAACTGTCCCATGAACAGGATGTCCCTCATCTACAAACCGAATTTCTCCACTTTGACATCACCTGTCCATCTTTGTCGCTGCTAGAGAAGAATTCACCAACCTCAATAGGAAAATGCGTACCATAAACGT